CGGTGTAAAAAATATGTGAGGCATTAGTGTCAGACAACTGTGACAGAGTTTTCACACATGACGGCGACAGCTTGCAGCCTAAGAGGTCGACCAGGGCGGATTGAAGAAATAGTTGGCCAACAACTGGTGTGCAATTTTTTTCTGTTGCAATGTGGTGTGGAATATTTTCGTAATGTTCGTATACCTTAATAATCGCCTGTTTGGCAGGCTTGCCAAAAGAGTTCAACGACCCGTGCTCTTAAGCTGGTGGCATTCGCAATTGCAATCAAATTATGTCTGAAATCTGGAGACAATACTCCTTCCTTGAGTAGCAAGCTAATAAAGAGAAAAGGAGGATCATCAGTGAACAGCCAACCGTAGGATCCACAGACACGTTGTCTTTTCATAATATTTTACTTTTTCTAATATATTTCTTATATTTTCAATAGATATTCTACTTTCGGTTCACAATTGTGCTGTTGTATGTCATTCATATTAAATGTTCCAATAGTTACACATGAAATTTATTTCCATGCAAATTCAGCTTCGTCACTAGTTTTAGTTCAAATACTTAATATTATCTCAGTCAAAGTTTCGCATATATGTTGGAGTGCGTTGCTCATACGCCGTGGGCAACGCAATATGTACTACTAAAAGTCCTTACAAGAGTGCACATTCGCTTGCGGTGTTGATTCTTGGTTGAGCTTACCACGATTTACACTCAACTTTTTGCGGTTCATGTTGTAACATTTGCATATGACAATGCGATTAGTGTAGGCTTTGTGGTGAGGGCAATAAAACTGAAATTATTTCTTTTAAGGAACAATAATGTAATCTTCTTTTACAAATTAATCACCCAACGGTGAGTAATGTTGACTTGTTGAACTTATAACGGTAAGCATAAAAATGAACATTGTATGGGACAACCAGGACAAAAAGCGGTCAAGGGTTGAGATTGAGACACAAATGTAAACAGCTTTTTTTAAATCATATTACTTGTTTGTTAGGTAGAGAAACTAATGGACTATTTTATTATTAATCATAAAATTATATATATTCTTTAAGTTTTAAAGTAATTTAACTCATTATTTTGTATAGAGAAAACTTAAAGTCAGGAAGTTTAGGAATAAGTGAGGCTTGAAAGAAGATTAAAAATCACACCACCAAAGGCAAAGCGGAGTTTAACTAAAAGGGTTCACTGCAATAACAGGCCGACTATATCGATCTTCTTGCCGTTTTAAAGTAGCAAATTGAAATTCATGGACTGCTACATACTTATACACATATGTTTCTTTAAAATCAGTTATTAAGTTGCCACAAACAAGCCACAACAAAGCCATAAAGATTTTCCAAAGAAAACAACTCAAAAGAAAGAAGCAAAAGCGTTGCCCTGAATGAGACAAGACAAGAGGCAACCCTTGAAAGCACAAGTGGTTAAGTGGCTTAAGAAGTTCACTCCCCCCAGACAATGGAAATATTTGAATATGTATGTATGTGAAGTGGGGAGAAGCGCACAGCGCACTCACTAGGTAGGTGAGCGGGGGAATTTGTGAGTTTGTTGACTACCCAAGCGAAATAATAACAACTCCCACACAGAAAATCCTACTTAACTCATGTTGTTGTTGTCATGTTGTACGTGTGGTTGTTGTCATGTTGACAAATGCGGAAGTGCAGTAACGCATGTAATGGCGGAATGTCGCACATATGACATCATAAATTTTACGAACAAAACAAGCACTTACACCCCGCAAGAAAATTATAGTAATACAAAGTAATATCTTGCTATATATTTTCTCCAACTAAATTCTCAAAGTACTTAGGTATTACTAATAAGTTGTAAACCAAATTTAATTAAGTAACGAAAGTAAGCATTTAATCAATCGAGAGCATTTTACGCAGTTGAGGCTTTAAAGCAGTGTCAACAACAAATAACTGACAAAATTAAATGAATTTTTGAATTCATTGCGAGTTATTTAACTAGTATAAGAAGAGAATTGTTGTTCAGTAAATTTATGAATAAGAAAAACAAAAAAAACAATCATTTTCGCAAAGAAATTATTCGATTTCATTAGCTGTGAGAATGCAGCCAAAAAATAAATTAAAAGTAAAACGCATACAGAACACGGCACCATGGAGGACTTTTACAGCTATATCAAAAAAGGCCACTCTGCAGCAATGGTGGTTTTAACTGAAGCTCCAAGAAAGAGAGTTTTCTAATTTTCTGGTACACAACCACTACTATATAGTATACAACAACATATATGTATCTATGTGTACTTATATAAATATTATATGTTTCGAAAAAGGTCTAAGAGTGGTACTGGTGAGGCCTCAAGTATTCATATTTACTATCTAATAATTATTCTTTGGTACGTAATTAACACGACAATTGAAAACATTAAACACTCACTCGACTTTTTCCTTTGGGTTGCATCATACATTTTATTTAATTAGGCGATTATGAGAGAAGTGAAATTTGTGTGAAACTTTCTTCCTCTCCTCTCCAAAAAAAATTTGCCAAGTTATTTTTGTTGCCTCTTTTCTTCGTTTCTGTCTCTCTCTCTCTCTACTTTTTCCTCTAATTTGACTTTTAATTGTTCATAATTAGTTCCTCATAACTTAAATTTCTTGGAACAATATAGCCCTAAGCACCTTGTGTACCACACAAAGAAACTATGAATGTGATGGAGGCAGCTCAGCAGCTGTTGGTGACAGCAAACATCAATTTGTCACGACAAATCGGTTTGTGTGTGTTGCGACGGAAATGTACATATGTGAATACAGGCGGCCGTAGTCGACTTTTATTAGAAAGTGTTTGGTTTATAGTATATTCATATAAAACTACGAGTTTTAAGGCTCCTTTACTGTACGATTAAGCATGAATGTGGAATTGACGAGTCGAGTTAGAGAAATCAAAGTTTCTGGTGGGAAAAACGCATTTTTCAAAAAAATTGGTAAAAGTACAATTGTGAATTCAGCTTTGGTTCCTGAAATATAAATTTGTTTGCTGTTTACTTTTTGTTTAGCTTATTCATATCTGGGTTTAAGTCCATATCTGCACTTGTATATGGTCATATAGATGTTGTACGCGATATTCTTTATCCTCCACCTTTAGACGATGCTAGGAGTTGAAATAGTTCAGAAGAATTTATGGGCAAAGTGTAGTTGAGTGAAAAAACTTTAGAATTCTCTTTTCCCTCTCTGAGTGAGTGTATACGAAAAAGGGTCCAAATTTCTCTTGTTGGCACTAAAACTTACGAATTATTGATACAATTATGAAGCCAGCAAAAATATTTATGATCTGTTTGGAAGCTTATAGCCCGTAAAAGACACATACACGCATATTTTATTGGCGACGCAAAAGTGATTGGGTGGATTTATTGAAACTTTATTGAAATTGTTTACAAAACTGTGGGTCACAAATTGTGTTTCGGTTGTAGAGGAAATTTATTGAGCTTTGAAAACAATATATAAATGGGTTTACTATTTTCGAAGAAGTTTCGTGCTCACTTTGACTATTAACTAATGTGGGATAAATTACAATTACATATATATGTTTCATTATGTGCGTGTGTTGCGTTGTTGACGCTGGTTTGCGTCCATTAACTTTTTAATAGTGAACTTCCATCTGTGCTTTGCATAAATTAATTCAAACGCGTGAGTTTGCCGGTCCTTCCTATAGAGGATCAGTTGAGATAAGACTATATATTTGGTTTCTGAGTTGATTCGATTTGGAGGATAAAAGAAAAGTGTCGAAAAGCTTGAAAAATTGGTTTGGTTATATTCATGTAGGAACGGACAGGAGACGTACGAGAAGGTGACGTACACACTTACGATTACATGCAATACTGAATAGCGAGTAAGAAAGACAACAAGTAGCGAAACGAAAAGAGGAAAATTTAAAAATTCTTAACGGTCAGCACGCGGACGAGCACTGAACAAGATTAGTGGAGTTAACTAAAGATCAAATCTATTTGTCAAATTAAACTTTAAACTTTTAAATAAAACGTGCGACATTAGATAAAAAGAAAAGCGAACCCACATTCATTAGCTGTGAGATAATTAATTTCAATGTCAACAATTTATAACCAATTTCGTCTTCGTTGGCATAACAACCTCTGTCAACTTTATTATGGGAAACTTATGAATGTCATTAGGAAATTTTACAAAACCCTGCTATTCACACGCTCTACATCAAAATTTACAAAAACTTTAAAATAAAAATTAATGTGTTGGGAAACATTACAAAACTACTGACTTGGCTTATCTTCAATGTACAATCTGTACATGTCAAAATTGCCCTAGAGACTTACTCTTCTGTGCATTTTCATGGTACCTTTTCGGCTGCTCCGGCATTGTAATCAATGCCTCACGTTGAACTTGTATCATTTTACACACGCTATGGTGAAGAGATTTTGTGCTTAAACTCTCCAGTCCACAATCCATGCTTAGAATATTAGTTTAAAAAGAACAAAGCTTTAGTTGTCACAGCAGTAACTGAATGGCGACTAGCAGTACTGTTTTAAATATCGACCCTCGTATGCATACTCCACACATAACCAGTGTCGCTTTTTAAAATCACCATGGTCAATTGAAGGTATGCTCACACAAAAATAGGCCAAAACATAACCGTTGACAAGGGAATTTGGTTTTCAAACAAAAGCGTGCTTCGATAATCGCACTGCTTAGCTTTGGACTTTTAGCACTCCACATTAAGCCTACGATTATTCAGTTATCACACAGAGCTTCAGGTACCTTAAAGAAAAGGGTGTATGAAACTGACAAGTTACACTTCCTCCTTCTTTATAAAATGATTAATTCGGTTTTCTATCCATCTACTATATAGCTATTGGATAATAAACTCAGTATAAAAACTAGTAAACATGTTAAATTCGGTAGAACCTACAAAAACTAAATCTGAAAACGTAATCGGCTAACGGTTTGCCATATAACATTACAAATAATTTCACTGAATACAATAGCTAAAATTGGTGAATGTGGTTATGAAAATAAAAACTCACCTGGCAATGAAATGATCAATCCAAGCCCCAGCAGTAACCAGCTGACAGCGGTGAGAGTAATGGTTGCAGTTTGGTGACTACTTGCTTTCAGAAAACTCATTGTGGCCAAAATTAAATTCATTTTCAAATTCAATTTCCACAATTTCATGAAATTTTAAATTCTTTATGTTATTATTTTGTGTGGGTAACTGTTCACAGTGGTGTTGGTAGCTTTCAACGGCTGCAAGCTCAGCTCTTTATTGTACAGAGATTTGGTAAATAGTTGTTAATTTGCCACTTTCTTATAATCTAAATCTATTCAGAACAATCGCTTAATTTATGTTACGTATACGACTCGGCACACATAGTCTGTTTATGAGCTGCAATATGTGGTTTGTTATTTTTGGTCGTGAAGATGTCCGGCAGCGTTTATTATTCACCTAAAACCTCTAGTAAATAGTACTTTTTAGAAAGTATTGAAGTGATGACTTTGAGTGTAGACTCAGCTGTTTTACTTAACAGAGGTTTCTTCGGGAATTTCCATCCAATAATGTTAACTTTGTCCCGCAACAATTACAGATGTCTTTTAGAAAACCATTTATTCCATATTATTTGGAATTGTTTGGATGTTATGGGCTTCTACTGTCGGCACTTAAAATCCTCAGACATCAAGCACAATTTTTTGCACACTTGTTTTGGCATTTTAAGTGTGAGCAGCAGTGGAAGAAATGCTTGTAGCTTAATATTACAACGTGCAATTATTGTTGTTGTTGATTGTGTTATTGATGTTGCAGTTGCTCTGTTTGGGTTTTGTTGTTGTTGCTGCGTTTGTCGTTATTGCACTTAAACGTCGGTTGAAGTGTTTTCGTCTGTTTTTCCTCAATTGCTTGCTTCTCGACCCGTATATCCTTCGCACTCCTCTTCCGCCTTTTTGTAACCTTTTTCCGCTGTTTTGACTGTTCACCACTTCGGTTCCGCACTTTTAAACTCTCTTTTCCTTGGCATTTACCTCGCTTAACAGTGTTTGTGGTTTTTCTGCTGTTTTGATTTTTCGTGCCAATAAACTTCGTAGTGTTGCCGGCTTTTAGGTGCGCTGTGGTTTAGCTGTTGCTTCCTCTGCTATCACCTTTCACTTCCCCTGTCGCTTTTAAATGCAGACAACTCACTTACTTCCTGAGAGCAACGAACACATTCTTGTTCTGCGTTATTATTGTTGTATTTATTAGCTGTGCGTGTATGTGTTACTGTGTAGTGACTTTATGTGGGAGAACGATCCGCCGTACGTTATTCACAAACGCAGCTGGGCGACCGAGAAAAACACGTTTCGCTAAGTATGGAAAACTGTTCGGCACCTTGGCGCTGAACTCGTGGTTGCTCACTGTGGCAATTGCACATTTTGTCTAGATTTTTACTGTTAATTGAACATTTCGGTTACTATTGTGATATAAAACATGAACTCTCTGATCCTTATGATTTGTTTTCTCTTAGTTTCTTTCCATCACTTCAATACACACTGACACGCAAGAAACCTGTAAAGAAGAAAAAGTTCAATAGTTTATTCGTAAATCTTATTTTTTATCATTTTGCTTTTTAATTTTCGTGTCTAAATAACAACACATAAATACAACACAGCCGATGAGAGAAAATTATTAATTCCCAGAATTACACTCCGAAATTATTTCAAAATCGGAAAGAAAAATTGTTGTTCGCAAGTGTGAGCTTAAAATATCAATATATTATATGTATTCAATATTGATTTCAAACCTAAATATTTACATTTGTTAAAATTTGTGTTCACATTTTCTACCTATATGAATCCGAAGCTTCAGTATATTTACAGAAATACTACTCTCCGCATTTGTATATGTTTTGCTGTTGCGAGCTTTTCAACTTATGAGGTGAATTTTTAGTTTTAAACCACTCTACAATTAGTATGAATCGGAAGCTCAAATTATCGGTATTCTGCTTTTTAACTAAAACTTGATAAACTACGAGTTGCCAATTATCAGACTTTGGTTAAAAATAACGGACAGCTGTTACTTGATTTACACTCAGCTTGGTTTGCCATTTTATAATTAACAGACGCCGCTGCGCGTACCAATTGGACTTGTGCCCATCTACTTTATGGAAGATTTTGCGGAAGGATCTTAGTTTGCGGGCTTACAAAATGCAACTATTGTAAGAATTGAAGCTGAACGACCATCAAACACCTCGCATGTTCAGTGACCCAAAACCAAATGGTCACCGATCCCAAATCAAAACAAAAAATTTTTGTTCAGCGATCAAGTTCAATTTTGGTTGAATGCGTACGTAAATAAACAAAAATGTTGGAGAGATGATAGTCCACAAGTATTTGCTGAGACTCCGTTCTATCCTCAAAAAGTCAGTGTTTGGTGTTCTATGGGCAGAGGAAATTATTGTGGTTCACATTTCTTCAAAAATGATGCCGGCCAAAATGTATTAGTCCATAAACGACGCTATAGAGCCATTGAAACCTTTTCCGTGCCTGAATTGAAGGATGGGAAATTCATGCCCGAAATCATTTTTGAAACCCTTTTCTTTATAATAAATAAATTTATATAATAAAATAGAAGGACTGTAGTAGATTCGAATATGCTTGTTGGTATGAGCGTTATTATAGAAATATTAGAACACTTTCGCTTCGTTTTATTTATATTTGGATATTTTGATATAAAGAGTAGCATACCCCTCAATATATATTAATTAGACTAGCGTTAATATATAGTTTGAAGTCGGTTAAAAAAATTAGGTGAATTTTAATTTTTCTCAAAAAATATTTATTTATTCATCGATTTCTATTTTGTTTTATAAACTTGTGCCATTGATTTTCCAATCCTCGAAGCAGCTCTGATATGTACTTCTTGGTATGCCCTTGAGCTCTCTCCCTGACTTTTTTTGCCTTGGCTCTCCCACTGAAAGAGGGACGATTGGACTTTGGTTTCGATATCATAACCATATATTCCTTTTAAGCAAATCTGAATCGCCGTTGACTTTTATAACAATTCCTCATGCCAATGTTTTTTTAGTCAAAATTCAGCAATATTGCAACGAACCTCGCTGCCCCACTTTTCATGCCCAAAATTTCCAAAAAAAATTGCAAGGCATGAGCCAATTGATATGCCGACATCTTCAGAAACTTTTCTAATAGTGATTTGACGATTCTCCACAACAAATTTTCTTCACTTTCTTAACATTTTTATCTCAACAAAATAAAAAATACATACGCTATGTCATATAGTTGAAACTGCGAACGTACCATATGTTAGAGACGAGTGTATCAACATAAAAAAATAAAAAAAAATAAATCGATAATAAAATATAGGTAGCCTGCGAAATTTCAAAATTCTGCTTATTTTATGAACAGACCTCGTATATCCTGCTTCGCTGACATCGCAAACACCTATTTCTCGCATTTAAGAAATGGAAAATGTATTCGTTTCAAAAGCGAAAGAAGAAAAGGTTCATTTCATCGCGCCAACTTCCCACGGCAAATAAATGTTTTATCAATAGTAAAACAAACAATTTTCTTCAGCCTCAAGCAATTTATCATATTTGGTGTAGCACTTGAGTATGCGGTTGAAACAAATACTGTGGAAGTCTTGGACAAGTGAGCGGAGAGGGCGACTAATAATTTTTTTGTTCTAAGTTGTACAATAAATAACCCGAGCTATCAAAGTAGATCCAATATTTCCTTTACTGCCTGTCAAGAAAATGTGCAGACGCAGCGTTATGAAAAAGTGGTCCTTCTGTCCTTCTGTTAGGAGCGTGATAAGAAATTATGCCACTTGAATGGCTACCCGTAATTTAAAAATGGTTGGGTTAATAGATATTAATGTATTTAGTTTTATTAAATTTTGGCTTACTTAGATAGAGCACTGAGAAGATATTGGTAGTTAGGAAACTGCCAACATAAAAATTTTAGAAATCAGCAAAATTCATATTTATTCCTGTGGAATATTTTCTGGTATTATCGTCTCTTTTTTAGCGATTATAATTTTAGCCTTGCATTCTTTCGTCTTCAATAATACTATGATGAAGGGTGACACGTTAGTCACAAGCGTCTAAGCTCAATTTTAAGAATAATTATAAAAGCGCATTGCAACCTGCTTATATTAAAACTTTTAAGTATTTGCCATTTGTAACCAAACTTGAATTGAAATGCGTAAAAGTGAAATCAGCAAAAATCAAAGTACCCATTTCTGCTATGCAAATGAGAGTGAAAACTAAAATGCTGGAGCAAAAATGCTAAACAGCAAAAGCTGTGAAAAATATAAGCACTGCAGCAATGTTGCAAGTGTGCGAAATGTATGCAAAATGCGATTTGCGGTGATTTATGTTGCAATATGGATCCCCGTCGTCTACTAAACTACAGTGCCCCTCCTTCCCGCTCAAATCCAACTATTATCCTCACTCAGCGGGCGGTTGTGACATTACAGAGCATCTGAGTGGAAAGGTTGTCCAAGAACCAAAAGTTAATCTCAAAATAAAAATGATGATTATAGCACACAAGCGTATCATGTGATTTTGCTGGGATTTGCTGGGATTGTTGGAGTTGTTGTTTGTTTGTTTTAGCTACCAAAATTTTTTCAATTGCTTGTACCACAAGAGCAAAGATGAAATGTATGTTGTAAAACTAGAAGCCATGTGATTTGTTGCTTATTAGTTATTTCAATTAGAGTAAGGCTGTTTGTGTTAATTATGCTGAGACTTCTTGCCGACTTTTTTATGCAAAACAAGCAAGCTTAAGTTTTTCATATATATTAGAATACTTTTAAATACCTATATCAATGAACGGAAATCAACATGATCCACACAAATTCATTGTTCAATATCTTTATGTTATTAATTTAAAAAAATCGGCTTTTAGAATACATTTAAAATCAAAAAGAAATAAACTATTTTAGTACTATTGGGGCAAATGATTTTAGACACCAATATAAGAACTTTTTCTTGCCGGCCACATTGCCGTTTGATATTTAATTCTCTTTTCTTTTTTTTTGTTGCCGCTAGAAAGTTCGTTTTCTTTATACCGTCAATGCAACTAATTTTGAAGCACGTGACGGTATTGATTAGGCTCAGACAATGTAACATAGTGTAACAGGATATCCGGAAAGTTTTTCAAAGTTCAACAAAATATTTTCTCGAATTTTATTATACCAGTGGATGTATAAAATATATAGACTGATCATCTAATCGCTTCATTTTGAACAAACTGTTATACTTGCAACAAATTTGCAATGCTGTTGGTGTCAGACTTTTATTTTTAACGAAACTTTAATGACTTTCTGATACGTAATACTGTGTCTTTGCTGTTTAATAGTAACTTAGGTTTATATATTCTCCAAATTCATAGAGTAATTAACATATCAAGGGCAATGAGCAGCCCAGCAGAAGGGATCACGAAAACATAAGAAAGGTGCTACTGAGGCATGTGAGTAATTGACTTTATTTTCTAGGCAGTATACATAAAAGAAGAAAAAAGAAGCTTCTTTATGAACATGTGGATATTTACTCTGAATTCGGTTTTTGGGAAATGTTTTAAGAATCTCTGTGAAATCCCTTAAGTGAAAAATAAACCGCAAATTATGTTAATTCAGGCATTTACTCGCAGCGGTATTGGGGCAAGCTACTTCAACCGGCGAGGAAAGCGCGAAATTGCTTTGTTTCCCGGCAATCAAAAGTGGAGCATGAACTTTATTATTTGAACACTTTCATTACTCTAGCTCTATTTGCTTGTTGTGCCATCGTTGCGGCTGTGGCACCAATGCCACTCCCGTATAACGGTGAAGATAAAAGGAAACAATTCACCGAAATTGCAGAATTATTTCAAAATGCAACATAAATAACAGCGAAGTGCACCAATTGTTGCAGCAGAGACAACGCGAATTGTGGCACTAGAATAGTAAGTGCGACAAAATTCAGCAACAATAACAATAAAAGCTTCGGAAAAAGTGTCAAGAATAAAATGAACAATGCAGATGCCACACAAGCTAGTAGATGCCACAAAATGTGGCAAGTTGTGAGCTGTCAACAGTTCAGCGTGCCGCAGAAGCATTAGCATGGAAATGAGAAAAAGTGAAAAGCACAATAACTGCATTGTCAACGGTTGCAACAATGCCGCATTAGCATCCACATATTAACCGCGAATGAACAGCGACTTCCTCACTCTAAGCTCACATACTGCCTCTTTGCAGCAATTTAATTTTCGCACCTCGTTGCTGGATAATCTTTGGAAAATGAAATTTTTATGTGCCGCAGCTGTTACAGTTCGGTTGAAATTAGCCTTAATTTATAAATATATTTTATATATGTTTGAAAGCTGTAAGCTGAGTAAGTATTGATGCTGATCGTGATCTATTCAAAGTTTCAATATGAGGCCGTGTATGTGTCTCTATGCGTTGGGTCTGCTTATGTTGCCGGTTTTTTGGGCTCTTTTGACTTTCTGCCTTTCGAAAATCCTGTTGTTGATGGATATCCTTTTTAACTTATGTGGCGCCATTTTGTGCAA